AGAAACAAGTGCATCGCTAGTAGTAACAAGTGCCTTACTAGTAGTAAGAAGAAGCTATTGGAAACCGTAGGACAGCTACGTGCGTGGCTTGATCATTGGACATTTGGATGCCGAGCTTCTCGGAGAGAGCGACCGTGGAGCCCTTCACATGGGGCTGGGTGTTTGGTGCACGCTCGAAAGCCATCCCTATATAAGCGTTTAGGAACCTGTCCCACCTGGGATGTGCGGAAACAACACTGAAATGAGAATGGGAGCCTGAAAAACCAGGTGCTGGAGAATGCACTGCCCATCACTTACGTACAGTGTCACTGTCACGGATTCAAGATGTGTTTTGTATTTCGTAAGAGAACGTGTGCCAAAGAGAGCAATATTAATATATACATATATTATCAAATGATATACTTTAGCATCTTGAGAAAATCTGTGTCTCCAGGACGCTTACTGGTCTTAAGAACCCAAGGCCCTGTTCCATGCTGGTTTGAACCGCACCGTGTTGTTGGCTTTCAGTGAGGGACATGGCTATGGCTATTCCATATTTTATTAAGATTATCATATGTTTTTCTCACAGCAACGATGACCCTTTGGCATTGAATGATCGCATGCTTTCGATGGCTCCATGGTAACTTCCATCCAAGCGAACTGTCGTTGCTGAAACGAGGATTGCGGCATGATGTTCCAAGGCCAGGACGCTGGTTGCTGTTTTGGTGTGTGTGTGGGGGGGCCTCATCAGAACTTTGATGTGGCTCCCCCAAACTGTGTAATATGTAAAACATATCTATATACAGTATACTACAATATAATATATAATATATATGTGTATATATATATATACATGAGAAATTATGAGAGTCGATTAGTGTATTGGGATTAGTGTATTGGTGGTTTTGGTAGTCCCGCTTAGTTCTGAGGGATACCAACAGGCTCATCTGGCAGTGGAACGAGCACGAGGCAGGCTGAATTCACAAGGTGGTAATGTAGCAAGTCAAAGCTGGACTCGCTGAAGGACATCTGCAGAAGAACCTAATACTCAGGCCCAGGTTTGAAGCGTGTACAAACCTGATGGCAGGAAACATGAACGACATTTGTTGTCTCCTCGTTCTTCCTTTGTCCGCAACAGTTTGTGATTTTGTTGCAATGTCAAGTAGTCACCTCATGTTACTTAGAGTCTTAGAGTATAGAATTCAAGTTTCCAGTCACCACCGTCGTTTGGGTGACTTGCATGTGCGAACTTCGCTGTGGCATAACCCTTCATGGATCCGTTCTGCAGGAGTTGCGCCCTGGGCATCGCAAAGAACCAGTTTTTGTTGATGCTGGCTTCAAAGCACTGGGCTATGCCGTGAGTTCTGAAGTGCACAGCAAACGTCTACCGCTGTGCACAGCGGAGCCCGCCAATTCACAGGCTGTTTTGCCTGACTTGCGTTCATAGAGAACCACACTCTCTTGCTTTTGGATGTACCTCGTTTTTTCGTCCACTTAACACGTTGCAAAATGCACACAACTTGAGCTCTGACATTCAGGCCTGAATGCGTGACAAGTTTGTACTTGGTTTGGGACCATTAAATTATAGGGCCTGGGCAGGCTAGATGCGAAGATTTGGAGCGCTGGACTCATCGAAAGCAAACCCCAACTCATGGTCCCAACTCTCAAGCTTGAAGCGCTGCTGGGGCGGTCGGCTCAGTTGGCAATTTTTTGTTTGAACTGCCCAAGGCAAGCACTGAAAGGTGCGGCAGGCCGAGAAAGGAAGTTCTTGAAGTCGTTCGGCGATGGAACCCAAAAGGTGTGCTTGAGATATGCCTGGATTATGCCGGATTCATCGTCGGCTGTTTCATCGGAATTCGACTCGGACTTGGACTTCTAGGAAGTTCACGTTGTGTTCAGCAGACGTATGGGGAGAGCTCTTTGGAGAGAACTACGAAACTGAGACTAAAAGTGATTCTCGGTGCTCCGCGAGAAGAAAAAGGATCATTTTTGTCCTCCTGTCATTGGCAACATTGCATGAGATCGATCTTCCTCAGATGTCCGGTGTAGACACGCTGGTTTCGGCATGGAGGACTCTGGTAATTAAACAATTACTGAGGGCGTTTTTTCGATGTGGGGAGATCTCCAAATGCAACAACTCTTGGGAGGCAGGAGTTGGGGAGTTGGGGCAGATCGAGCAACTGGCTACCAATCGCAGCTTTGTGAAAGAGATGGTACGTGATCCACCATGATTTGTCCCACAGACAAGTACTGCAAACGTCCCAGGTTTTTGGTGTTCCCCAGTAAGCCGGCACCAATTTGGACACGGTTTTTGGGATTGAGAATCTGGGCGGCTGGCTCCAGGATTCACCTTCTTCGGCTCCGGAGACTGGACGACCTGGTCAGATCGGACCTGGTGGACCTGTCCGTTTCGGTTTCGTCGCGATCCTGGTTTCGCCCGCGAAGACGGTGGCTGAAAGATCTGAAAGGTTTCCCCTGAAAGCTTGGTGCCCGTCTTTCGTTTAAGGTGCCAGTTTAACACATCCAAGGCCAACATTAGAGGGCATCCTAAACGTTTCTACAAGAAGTTCGTGCTTTGAGTAGCAAGACACATTATATGGTGTGCTGGGAGAAACTCCAACAAGCAGTGGGGCAAAACAGATTATCGCAAGACGCGGCGTATACATGCGTATACATATAATTCTTTCACTATATTTACTATATTATATGTTATACATCAACATACATCAACCTAATTTTAGCACGTGCAGCGATGCAGGGCATGTAAGTAAGGCACCCAGCAAAGAGTGCACTACACTAAACTGAGGCGAAGCGACGTGTCATCCCAAACTGCTGTCAGACCTAAGCCTAAGCTTCTGGAGGGCCTATAACCCACACACATACACCATCAACCCATCCAAACAAGAACTGCACGACCTGCCAGTAGATCCATTGGTCCTGACAGATGATACTAGTACCGAAACGTTAAGGCTCGACCGTGTCAAGCTGGATTCACTATTGTGGAGCCTCCAAATCAGGTGGAGAAGCACCCTTTTGGTGCATTCCAACTTGAAAGAGAGTAGCAAATTATGGCAAGTTCATCCCCCATCTGTTTTTGTTCACCTTGGTCACCGTGGGAGGTTTTTCGCTTGGCCACCTGACCACTCGGGGAAGGCACTGACCAATTCTGCAGGCTGTTCAAGCAACTTTATGCGGAACTTCTGGGACGACGCAGCGCTCCAGCTGTTGGCGCCTCACGATGCCCTTGGCCAGGGAGTGTAGCTGGGCGGGAGAGCTGTAGAAGTGATGAGGTTTTGAAAAGGCTCCGCACCTGGTGGTTTCGTTGGACTGCTCAAGCACTACTCCTACACACCTTAGCTTCCAACAACGGCTTGAGCATCCTTTGAGGTCCATTCGGATCCGATCGCGGATCCGAGTTCCGGGAACGGGGTGGAAAGTGCCCCTGGTGGTGCAAAGAAACAAGGCTTTGCAATGGCCGGGGTGGTGGAAGGGTCCAGTTCCAGCCGGTGCTAAGCACACTCGTTTGAGGGTATGATTTTACAACCCTCCCGTTGAGAAATATGTATGATTTTGCCGCTTCCGTTGCCGACTGTCTTCAAGCTTATTTTTGTGCCTTTGTTTTGGGCTCAGACTAGTGTTAGACTATTGGTTTTGGACCAGGAATCTAGATTAAAGGTTGACGTGCTCAACTTTAGATGCTGACTGATTTGTTCAATTTGCACCCGTTGTGTTGGAGATATTTCTCACATGAACAGTGACAGAAATGGCGTTCAACATCTAAATTTTCTATGGGGCCTAAATGAAAAGATTTCTTTTGATCACTTGCACCAGCACTACTTCACTGCGATCCATCACAAACATTTGGATGTAGTGTGAAACGTTCACGAGCACACATACCTATGTGTGCTGGGGCTGCCCTGTAGGTAGACATGGGTGCGTTTGGGGTGCTGTTGCAAGTCATACGAACTGTAGTAGTAGAGCATAGGTAGAAAAGATCTAGTACTGAGTGCATGTTGACATATGTTGACAAGTATATAGAGTATTGTAGGATGTAAAGCAAGTGATTCAGAACACAACGAGAGGAACACGTAGAGAGCGAATGTGTTTGCCAAATTTTTCTCATAATCTTGACCTTGGAGACTTTGTTTGGCCTCACTCGCTTCTCACCATTTTCCTTTTTATGTGTTTGTTTGTCGAAATTGTCCGCTGACACCTTTTGACATGTTTAAGGCTAGGCGTGTTTTGTGAGTGAAGGTGTACGTGCAAGGTTCATTAGAAAGCAGGTGGGCAAGGAACTTCCACTCAGTTACATTCAAGCTGTTGGGGGGGTTGTCAGATCTACAGCCAAGGTTGAAACAACAATCAGGCTGTAATTACAGATGAAGCTTTAGCCATGTGCGCACAGCATGGATGACAAATTCACACCCTGGATCCATGAAACTGAGGAAGTTGCTTCGCTAATTTGGGTCCAAACATGTCCACACACAGCTCCAAAAAATGTAATGACGCGTCCGAGTGAAAGCCGCAAAGTGACACATCGGATCGTCATTCCTTTGGTACAGCCCTCAGATTGAAGTTGTAAACCTTTGCCCCATGAGCTATTTTTGGGGGGATTCCCATTGTGTGCTCCACCATTTTGCAGAAGTTGAAGCATCTACAAAAAGGCTTTTCCACATCTTGATGGTGAGATCCCCTATAAATGCTCTATCATGCTCTATCCATTCTTTCATCGGGGTCCAACTGGGATCTCTCGCAGGGCATAGGTATCAAACAAAAATAAAACGAGCATCCAAAAAAACATAAAAAGAGGATCAAAAACAAAATAACAAGCGAATCAAAACATATTCCTTGATAGGCCTCTTCTGCTGCTCTCCTGGCCCTGTGGTCTGCGGGTCCTCTGGTAATAAGGTCCCTTGGTCCTTTGGTCGCTTGGTCCTCTGGTCCACTGGTCCTTTGGTCCCCTGGTCCCTTGGTCCTTTGGTCCACTGGTCACCTAGTCCTCCGGTCTCCTGGTCCTCTGGTCCTGTGGTCCGCTGGTCCCCTGGTATCCTGGTCCTTCTGTCTCCTGGTCCGCTGGTTTCTTGCTCTCCTACTCCGCTCGTCTTTCGGTCTCCTGGTCCTAGGGAGGTACACTCTCCTAGTCCCCTACTCCTTCCATCCTCTTCCCGTGGTATCCTAATCCTGCTACTGCTACTGCTACTGCTACTACTACTACCCCAACCATCCTCAGTGGGCTAGAATATGTTTTTGTTGATTCCCCTTTTTTTTTATTGATCCCCGTTGAATTTTTTTTTGATTCTATTGTGATTTTTATTTTGATCCCTTACCCCTCCCGCAGCTCGCGCTCGCGAGGCACTTGGTGCTCTCAGGGCGCCTCGCCCTTGTGGCACCTGACGGGGTGCTGCTGCGCTACGCGGGACCGGGTGAAGTGCTACTGGTGGTGCCTGGGGCCAACACCACGGTCTCCGCGCGGAAAGGCGTGGACGCCTGGATGTGGAGCGATCCGCTTGGATGACCCTTGCTACGTTCGTAGCGTCCTTGTTACTAGTAGCGATGGCCTCCAACCTGCGACCGCCATGGCTTTCACTTAATAGCGTCCTTGTTATGCTAGTGATTCTAGTGGAAACCCTAACCCCCTCGACTCTTTCTCAAGTTTAGTGTCTCCTTCCGTATGACACAGTAAATCCAGGCCATGCCTATGTCGCAGTACCCCTGGTTGCAGTTGATCATCCTATAGAGACTGGAGGCCAAAGAAACCGAACCTTCACACAGATCACCGTAAGAAGGCAGCCAAGTTGTCTGGGAGTCGGATAATTACTCAGAAATGACTGAAGGGATTATGTGCAGGCAGTGGTGGGGAGGTTTGTCAAAAAATCACGAAAAATCGGCTAGACCCTCAATCATCTGTGTTGGATGCAAGTATTTGCAAGTAGCTGATGGCGCGAAACGTGACTTGGAAGTCGATGAAAGCTTTTTCATGCTTTACATGTTCATTTGGGGAACCTCATTACCCTTACCTCCGAATCGTTTGCATGTTATACAATCACCCTCAAGGAAGATCAAGGAAGAGTAGATGTTTAGATGTTCCTTTACGTAGAGCTGGCTGTCCGCTTCCAATGTATTTGGCTTCCACGCATCTCCTGGGCGTCAGGCCCAGTGCTGTGTGCCTGCGTCGCTTTGCCCGGGCCAAGCGAGCCCAACAGCGACGACCTGGAGATCTGGTGGCGGAATGTGGATCAGCGCTTGGGCCAAACGACCGTTGAAACGCCAGACCATGGAGGAAACAGTGGCCGATGATGTCCTAGGTCGACCTAGAGGCTCCTTCCACAGGTTGAGGACCCCACAAAATTCCCCCAAGTGGCGGGCCAAGTACCTGGGAAATTTCTTTATTAGCAAGAGGCTAGATAGACGGCTGTCGATTCCACACACACATACGTACAAAAGCCATGTTCATCGGAGATTATAAAATACCTCGGCATGCTCAGCTGGTGACCAACCAAGGGAATCTTGTTCTCACGGCTTACCTCAAAACAAGAAATGTGGGTGAGCATCGATCATAGATCATTCAGTTCGATGCTTTTTTGGATGCGACCAAC